TGTCAATCAACTATAAACAAAATCTGCAAATACGCCCTGATCTTGCCTACTAGACTACATGTAACAGCCTACGATCTTAACATGGAAGACTTTTTTCTACATTTTGCATTGACTGCATCCTTCAGTGCTTTTTGCAGTTTCTCGTCAATTTTGTGTCTTGGGAATTCAATGGCCGCTTGGGACATTATTGCAATAAACTTGGGCTTTTTCCTCAAACATTCTTTGGTGACCTTTTCTTTGCCATTGAAGATAACACCGCTGTTATGGTAATTTGATCTGGCGAGTTCCTCTGGGGTGAAGACTTCTGCCATTAATTTGATGATCAAGTCCTTGGGGTTGTCCACCTTGTCAAAGATTTTGTCGTAAGTGTCCTTGTCCATTGTATGGGTGGCATTGTTCGATGTGCCTATTAGCACTGTGTTGAGATGCTTGTCGGCGATGATGTACTGTGGCTCCCGATGTTCACTGGTGATACTTGAGGCGTTCTTCTCCTCGGACCGAAGCTCTCGTACCTCTGCCCACAGCTCGTTTACCTCTGCCTGAAGCCCTCGTATCTCTCCCCGCAGCTCTTTTGTCTCGGTTGACTGCTCATCCAGCTTGGCGATCACCATCGCAAGTTGTGACGTCACAAGTTGGATGAGGGGACTTTCTGTGCTGGCCCCGGTGATCGCTGAAAGATCGAGATCCAGATCGAAATCAGCTATCGGCTCATACTGAAACTGGGGAAGGTAGGCTGGGGCTGGGGCTCGGGAACGCTGGTGGGGCCCGTGGAATCCTTGGTGGGCTGGGGCTCGGGAACGCTGGTGGGGCCCGTGGAATCCTAATGGGCTGGGGCTCGGGAACGCTGGTGGGGCCCAAGGAGCGTTTTCGAATCCCTGTTCTTGACAACACTCGGGTTAACCCGACACGAGAACAGCGGTCTCGAACGTGACGAACAGACCCGAGAGGGCGTTCGCGGATCGATTTTTTCACTCCCCGGTTGATGGAGGGTTCGGCGAGGTGCAGCTTGAACAAAATGGCGGACTGTGAAGATTCGTAAATTGTTTTGTGTGGGTTTTCTTTTGCTAATACCCTAATGATTGGAATAAGAATACCATTATAGTGCAGGTCTGCAATTTCATCCCCGCATGTCCGGTTTTGCAACAGTCGTCCTCGTTCATTTGGAATAGGCCTAAGAACAAATTCAGACGATTGTCGGCCATTTTGCATTGCTTTATATTGATGCGACACGCACCCGCGCGTTCGTAACAACCAGCTCGAGAATACGTTCTCGTGTTACACGCCTGTTGTCAAGAACAGGGATTCGAAAACGCCCATGGAATCCTTGGAGGGCTGGGGCTAGGGCTGAGTCAATTCGAATAATTGAATATTCGAATATTCGACCTTCCAATCGATCGAATATTCGAATATTCGGTTATTTGGCCATTCCAAATTCCCTCAAAAGCAAAAATATGCCATACATGTACATGTAGTCAACGTACGTGCGCACGTCAGCATGCCATGCATGATTTCTTCACAGGTAAATCAGGTATTTGACAACAATCAGTTGTTCCTCAGTTGTCAGTAATTTAAAGATTAACAATAACCAGAGAAGCTAGAGTGAAGGATTCCTTGTTTGCATGGGGGACGTATTAAGCCGTGAACCCCAAACACGGCGGGTGGCGTCAGCTATTGTGACTCTCCGACCCTTAACTCGCAAACAGGAACCGAGCATATCTATTGCTGGAAGCTATCTTGAAGTCTACAAAACGGTGTACTTCCTAGTCACAGTATTGAGGATAAAAAAATCACTTTTATAATAATAACTCGCACTTTTGTCACCAAGAATTGAGGAAATGATTTTATATCATTTTAAATAAACTTATTCTCAACAACCAAAAACTCCAAGAAAAAACCTATGATATTTAATGTCTTTATTCAATGAAATATGGGTCTTTGAATTGTAAATGCATATTTAAGTTTATGCAAATAATGGGCGTGGGTGCGGCATACACACGCCCCGGCTTGACACGTGCAAAGCAGTATTTCCTTGTTTGCCCACAGCGGATGTATTATAAGCTGTGTACCCAAAACACGAAGGGTGACATTTCAGTATAAAAAAAAAAATCGCAAGCCGAGCTCCGGCGGGCGCATTGTTGGCGGGCTAATTAGGGCACAGGTGCGTTGACCCGGTTCTTTTGTCTGGCTAAGTGCGTGCTCTGGAGATAACTTTCTAACAAATAGGCCACTAAAAGGTTTGGATATTCCAACTTGCAACATTTTGATACATTTTGTCTAGCTGTGGTTTTCTATGCTGGGAATCAGGGGTACGTTGCGGTGAGTTGACCGCAAAGTCTGTCTGGCGAAATAAATGAGAGCTCTTTTGAATTTGAAATCCTCTCTGTTGTCTGCCCTTTTTCTTGCGTTTTTCTCAACTTGGAGGACATAAGCCAGAGGTTCCCGCTATTATTACTGAAAGTATAATTGCTGAACTAGTTTTTGAAGTGTTTATGTATGTTTTGTGCAAATATTGGGTGCAATTAGCAGACTATCCCAGCGAACAAAGCTGACGGACAGCGAACGAAAATGTGTTCGATAAAAGGGTGCTCGGATCAGTTGAGAGAACTAGATTATTTTGTACATGTACATGTAAATAATTACGGAGGCATTGAGGCGAACATCTAACAGCCATAATAAATTTACCCCTAAAAGTAAACAAGAAATTCTTTTAGAAAAATCCCAGAGTCCGTAACGTAAATGAACCAAGGTTTTCAAAACGTTTTAATGTAATGTTGGGGTTCATGACAAGTTTTCTACAACACCGCCACGTGCTGTGAGCAGCATACTGCGTGCAAGGCGATTCCCTATAACCACGTGCATTCGACACGATTGAACAGACGATGGAAAACTTTGGGGGGAATTGGCTTCGCTGTATCAGTGTAATGTATCGCTTCTTGTGCGACCCTGTGCGAGCAGTACGTCCTCAAAATAAGTACATGAAAACGGAAAATACAAAGGCCCACACAGAAAAAAGAAATCAAGTTCTTTGCATGAGATTGCAGAGGTCTTCTACATCGATGTTGGCATGCCATTTTCGCGATGTCAATAGCCGATCCAGTAAGCCCCTCCCACTGCGCACGTGGGCAAATTAACACGTGCTCCTCTCCAATGCCACGCTGCATTTTCCTATGCTGCACACATGTACATGTACATGTAACACCAACGCGCGGGGAAACTTGCCAGGATCGCATCGGGGAAAAACAGCGGCGGTTTTCTTTTGAAAGTAGGGATTGTAAGTAGGACGACAACAAACAAAAATACGGACAACGGAAACGTTACTACTCATGCTAGAAGTTTGATATGAAAAGGTGTCAGGAAGTGTTTTGTGAAGACATGAAAGACAAAATGTCTTGTTTATCTTGTCGGAAGCATCAGCGATTGGTGTTGCAGTCCGGCGTTAAAAAAATGGGCTGGCTTTACTGCAAGCACTCCCAAAGCAGAAGTAATATATGTATGGCATTATTGCTTGGCATATATACAAGCTACTTTTATGGGGTTTTTTGGCAGCAACTTGAAACTTAACTTTGAGAATACACTTTTGTTGTTAAAAAAAAGAGTTTTTTCCACCTTTTTATTTCATTGCATATCACCACCGAATATTCTTATTCGAAAATAAATATTCGAATATTCGTTTATCGATCGAATAACCGAATATCCGAATATTCGGCACAGCCCTAGCTGGGGCTCGGGAATGCTGGCGGGGCCCGTGGAATCCTTGGTGGGTTGGGGCTCGGGAACGCTGGCGGGGCCCGTGGAATCCTTGGTGGGCTGGGGCTCGGGAACGCTGGCGGGGCCCGTGGAATACATGGTGGGTTGGGGCTCGGGAACGCTGGTGGGGCCCGTGGAATCCTTGGTGGGCTGGGGCTCGGGAACGCTGGTGGGGCCCGTGGAATCCTAATGGGCTGGGGCTCGAGAACGCTGGCGGGGCCCGTTGAATCCATGGTGGGTTGGGGCTCGGGAACGCTGGCGGGGCCCGTGGAATCCTTGGTGGGCTGGGGCTCGGGAACGCTGGCGGGGCCCGTGGAATCCTTGGTGGGCTGGGGCTCGGGAACGCTGGCGGGGCCCGTGGAATCCTTGGTGGGCTGGGGCACGGGAACACTGGCGGGCCGGTTGTCCCTCTGACCGGTTGGGGCTCAGGAAGGGTGGCGGGTCCAGCAGCGAGTTTCTTAATGACTGCAAGCGGCACGTCATCCTCGTCGGAATCTTCGGAAAGCTTTCTTTCTGAAAAAAGGGAAATAAAGTTGACATCAAAATCTGGTTTTGAAAAATGTGTTAACAAAGCCTTAAGTGCAGTTCTTAAAGCTGGCATTATTGTGTTTGGTCATGTTGCTTCTGAAATCATATTATATTAATTTATGTCAATGCGCCAACATACATGTATACATGTAGTTCTGCACCCAAAATACATATCCTGGTTGAGCACTTTAAGTTTGAAAAAGTTTCAAATTCACGGTTGATAGAAATCTCATAGGGGGCCAAGGTTACCCGCCATAGGGCACAATGAAACAAATGTTGTACTTTGTCGCCGATCCGTACAATTTCTGCCCTGTGATGATTGGATTTGTAGTTCACTTGCACCTCCATGCTGATTTCCAGGGGATGACGAGATTTCACCCTGCTCTGAGCAACATCTTCCTCGATGCCATGCCATCTTGCATTAAGCCACCTGATGGTAATTTTGTTGGTAGACATCTTTACAAGAGTGTTTAGAAGGCGTCTGCACTCGATACAATTTTGTTTCAAAATAAGACAGGGACAGGTTTTCAAACGACTCTAATGAAACGAAGCATGTTTCTGGAACTTTGTGCATAGAAGACTGATAGAAGACTGAAATTTTGCCCAATAGTAAACCACAGGATGACTCGCTCATGTTGATTGGTTCGTTGTTCAGTCTCTTTTGTTTGGAACCAATGCAACCAAATCACAAGGCGTTACCGCAACAATTCATAGCCCTATTACACCAACCAAATCACAAAGCCTTCCCGCGACAATTCATAGCCCTTTACACGAACCAAATCACAAGGCTTTACCGCGACAATTCGTAGCCCTAAATGTCATTGTTAAAGTTGTTTGATGGTTCCGCAAAGGAGGACAGAGTGGGGTGGGTTTGGGCTTCTATTGAATCTGGCTAATTGTCAGCACGCGTCACTCGTTAATCCCTGGAGAATACCTAGGTACTGTTTATGAACCGTATGTTACATTCGCGTACAGTTGCATATTTACTTTAGTTCTAGAAAGTGTTCGTTCGTTTAAGTATGAGTTCCCCACTTCGAGAGATTTTGGCTAACCGGCCGAATGTTGATATCAGCTGTCTTTTGGTTAGTCCGAAGGGCAAAGTTGCAAAACCGAGGCCCAAACCTGAACGTCAACAGTCACTTCTACTCTTCACGGGTGAGGTACGCCTTGGAGTTGGCCTCCAAATTCCATGAGTCGTCTGTGGTCTACTCCGTTGACAATAAAAACAAAATTCTTCTTGGCGACCAGGTGGCCGCTGTGAACCGGGGCATCCAGATTAATTGATTCTTTCCCGCTGATGACTGCCCCAACCTCCCTGACCACGACTTCCCCACTCCCGGGTACTTCCTTGTTCCTTGTGGCTACCTTCAGATGGTTCCCCCGTCTCCATCTACGCTAACCAGAGATAATCTTGGACGGGACCAGTATGAGTAAGTCAACTTAAATTGTCACTTGAATTAAACTTAAATAATATGTTTGTTTGTTTGGTTTTTTTTTTATGTTATACCGCCCAGGGTATTCCGCCCGAGAACATTTCGATATTAAAGGGAATATACAACATTTGCAAACATTGGAAAACAAAACTACTGCTCAAAATTTACCTTTTTTTTCAGTCCAAATTTTGTTTGCTATTGGTTACATGTTCATGAACGGGTGCAGGCCAGCTAGATTGGTTTCCTTACCTTACATTTTTCCGGCATCTATAAATTGATTCACAGTTTCATTTTAGTGGGGTCAGGGAACCAGACTACTTGAACATTTTTTGTTTTTCTTGGTTTTCCCAGCATTTTCGAACACAAACCTTCAAACTTGTCAGTGTAACAATATTTGATCTATTATACTAACCCCTCAAAATAGTTCATTTCTAAAATTTACAGCAAAAGCCAATGATGTACATTCCCTTTGACACAGAGTTGTATTTTTTTTTTTCCAAACTTGTGTGTTTTTTTTAGGCTCCCCAGAAGATCGAGGGCTACTATCATAAACAGGAGTCCCCAGAACCCATGTCATGTGTCAACTCACATGAATGACATGATCAAGCATCTGAAGGTAGCAGAAGAGGTGGCAAAAGGGCATTCACTTCTTGTACTGATTGCGGATGGCGGGCCGGATTTCAACGTGAACCATGCGGTTAATGAAATCTACTATGGCCGCCTCTTCAAGCAGTGCAAGCTGGACGCCCTAATTGCCACCTCGTACTGTCCTGGCCATTCAGCCTTAAACCCCGTGGAGCGGCTGTGGGCCCCGTGCACCCGAGCATTGACCTCCACGTCGATACCCGCAGCGCTCCCCGGGGAGCTGCCTCCCAAGCGGCAGTCCCTCACCCAAGATGAATGAGAAAGGAAGGATGCAGAGGTGTTCAACAATGTCATGGAACACGTCAAACACTATTGGAAGGGGCTCCACTACGCTGGGCATCCGGTCACCACCATCACAACGCCCAGCGGATTCCAAGATGCGCCCCTCGATGACTTCGACCGTGTACCCACTGCAGTGTCATCATCGGCGACTAGTCTGCGGGAGGATCGAGCAGTGTATGATGAATACAAGTTCGTCATGCGACACATGGATCGGCGCATTGGCATGGTGATTTTTGCCAAATGTTCCGATCCAGGGTGTCAGCACTGCTTATCCAACCCCCCAGTTGCCAATGATATGCTGCAGTGTGTGCGCAGCTTCCCGACGCCTATTCCATCAACCGAACATCCAAGTCATTTTTTGACCTTTATGGAGGCCATTCGCGACACCAGACAGCCCCCATGCGAACACATGCCCTTGTTCAATCAAAAGTCATTGGGGCGCTGCAAAGAGGAGGGGTGCAGATATGTGTTCACCAGCAAGAAAGATGTTGCTGACCACAAGAGAAAGGCACACAGATAAACGTTCCGTCGTGACAAAATGAGCAGGCTCATAATTAATGTGAATCATTTTTTTTAATCAGACAGGCGTTATCTAAATTGTACCTTTCATCGTTTTGTGGCTGAAAATTATATATCGGGAAATGAAAAGAAGAAAGAAACTAGAGCTATGTCTGTTCGATGAACAGAATACAAGGCTTTTCTGCCTTTTTGGGGGGTTGTTTTGTCCATCCATGCAAGAACATACCGTAGTTACAGACCTAACTTTTCCACATGTAGGACTTTATTCACCTTTTAACATGACGTCAAATATCCTGTGATGACCTCATCGTGACAACACTTGTCAGTGCACATGCTTTCATTGTTGTCTTGATGTGCACCAAGTTTGACGTCGATCCCATGAAAGAAAGTGTCAACTTTTTTTAGCGGAATACAATTTAAAATATTAAAAAATAATAATAAAAAAATCAACAGATGACGTCAAGATGACGTCATTTCAGATTTTGCATATTTGTGACATTATCTACCTATCCACAAAGCTTCATGACGATCGGACCTTCTCTTATATGTGTTTTGGAAAATCGCATTTTTTGATGACGTCATTGTGAGGTCACACATTTTTCAAAATTTTGTGCATATACATATTACCTAACAAACCAAATACAAAAGGAATTTTGAATTTTGCATGTTGCGTTCGTGAGATATGGCTTAACCTTAAAGGGGCCTAAACTTTTTCCGCGATAGCCTTGACAATTTTTTTCGGCGTCCTGAGCTGTTCTGACTTTTTAGCCACGAGCTTTGCGCATCTTTTGATACCAAAAACATAAAAATTGGACCATGGGTTGCTGCGCAGCGAAGAGATGGTCAAAATAACCCGGCCCTTTTAGAGTTAAAGGTCCAAAAATTCCTATAAAATTGTACAATTAAGTCACCATGACGTCATCTCAATTTTCATCTGTAACACATCCCGGTCTACCAACATACCAAGCTTTAACCCAATCGGACTTACAGTTCTGTAGATAGATGACTTCAAAATATGCACGCTTGTGATGATGTCTTGTGGCGCATGATGATGTCATCGTAACAATACTTGTCAATGCACATATTTTTATTGTGGTCTTGATTTGCACCAAGTTTGACGTCAATCACGGTAAATCAAAATGTAAAATTTTGTAAGTGTAATAAATTTTTAATTATTAAAAAATCATTAAAACATAAACAGATGACGTCATGGTGACATCATTTCAGATTTTGCATACTTGTGACATTATCTCCCTATCCACCAAGTTTCATGACAATTGGACCTTCTCTTATAATGTGTTTGGATAAATAGCATTTTTGATGACGTCATTGTGACATCTCACATTTTTCAAAATTTTGTGCATGTACCTATCAAGTATCACCTAACGAACCAAATACAAAAGAAATCTTGAATGTTGCATGTTGCGTTCGTGAGATATGGCCTAAAGGTCCAAAATTTCAAAAATTCATATAAAATCGCACGATTAGAAACACAGGGCATAACACTGATCGGAGCCTTCTCCGGCTGGACAAAAGGTTAAACATTGATAGGTGACATGGAAAAATCAATGTGTCGCACGTGCGTGCATGTACTGTACGCAATGATACCAGCATACGTACCGCACCGTACCGTCTGCTAGCACATGGCTGGTCGGGAATGGGTAGCCTTGTGAACGATCCAGTGGATAAAATCATTATGTTGTGCGATTTTCGGAGGTTTCAAATTCAGTTAAACAAAATACAATGCCTTAAAAATCGTGATGATTATCTCGAGGATAGCGAAGAGAGCATTAGCGAAACATTTCACTGGCATTTGTTAGAAGAGAAAGATGATAATACCTGATTTTTCCCCATGTATGAATGCAAGTGGAGTAGTGGAGTTGTGTGGTTGAATGGACATGATTGAAGCACCATGAACGGTGCCTTGTCTTTCGGACTTTTCCCTAGACTTTCTCAAGTAAGAAGTGAACTTCTTTATTGATGACTCCATTACTCTAACCGTAATTCGGGCATTTTATGCAATGAAAACACTGACCATTTATTTCATCGTAAAATTTTGTTTTGAATCGAAAATAAAGCAGGAGTAGGTGTCCAGAAATAGGGCATGAAGTGTATTGTACATGCATGTACATGTGTGTAATGCAGCGCGGCCCAGATTTCAGACACGTATTTTTCTTCGGCATATTTTCTGATTTTTTGGCCATATGCCAGTTTCATCTCTGTTACAGTGCTGTAGGTACAGGCCTTCAAAATATGCATGTTTGTTATGACGTCACGTGACCCATGATGGTGTAATCATGACGTCGCTCTTCGAGACACAACTTCACTATAGGGTCTTCACCTGAGCTAAGTTTCATTGGAATAGGCCTTTTTTAAGGTCAGAAGTGTCTCATACCAAAAACATTTAACCCTATCCCTGCTGAATCCAACAGGATCCAAAAATATTATATACCTGTTTAGTGATGACAAGTTTGACTCCGTTGGATTCAGCAGACAACTGAAAATAAGGCACAGTGGATTGAGCAGGAATCTCCGGTTGGACTCTGTTGGATTTAGCAGGGTAGTGTTGAGGAACTACTAATAGTCCAGCGGATATGTGACAAAATATCGATGAATTGTGCACTTTTGCATAAAAGCGTGAAACTTGGCACAGATGTTTATATTCATGCGAGAAAATGTTTTAGATGTGGAGCCATCGCAAATTTACCCTTTTAGGGGCGTGGCATCCATTTAAAAAAAGGGGGCGGGACTTGTCGTGCCCGCAGTAAAAATGGTTTTTCCCACTTGTTACAAAAGCAGGAAACTTCACAAAGACATAATTATATAGATTATTAGTGTTTTCCAGATTCGGAGCCACCACAAAAGTACCTTTTTAGGGGCGTGGCAGCCATTAAAAGAAAAGGGGGTTTTAATTATTATGCCCACTTTGGAAAACATTGTGCCCATATTTCATGAACGAATAAAACGTCCAACAGACGTTTATATTCATGAGAAAAAAAATTCCAGATGTGGAGCCATCTCGAACACACACCCTTTTAGGGGCGTGGGAACCATATAGGAAAAAAAAGGGGGGCGGGGTTTTCATTATGCCCACCCTGGAAATATTGTTCCCACACTCATAGAGAAATGGAACTTTCCACAAACATTGACATTTATGAGAAAAAAAATTCCAGATGTGGAGCCATCTCGAACACACCTTTTTAGGGGCGTGGCAACCATATAAGAAAATAAAGGGGGGCGGGGTTTTCATTATGCCCACCCTGGAAATATTGTTGCCACATTCATAGAGAAATGGAACTTTCCACAGACATTGACATTCATGAGTAAAACAGTTCCAGATGTAGAGCCATCGCGACCACACCCTTTTAGGGGCGTGGCAGCCATATTGAAAAAAAAGGGGGCGGGGTTCTCATTATGCCAAACATGGAAAAAAATGTGCCCACATCTCATAAACGAATAAAGCTAATTCCCACAGATATTAATATTCAAGAGAAAAAAAAAGTCACACGTGAAACCATCGTAAACACACCCTTTTAGTGGCGTGGCAGCCATAGTAAAATGGGGGGGGGGGGGGTAGTCATGATGCCCCTATAAAAGAAAGTTCTTATGTAGATCCACAGCAAACTCATCCTTTTAGAGGTGTGAGGGGCCTACTCACTGTGCCCACAATTGCAATTTTTATATTTTGTTGTTGATTTCTTATAATGTTGATTGGCCCATAACCTATATTATTTGGTAATACAATGACTTACCCCAAAGAGCATGGGTAAGTACCGGTAGGCTAACCCGTGTTATATTGTTCAATGTGTGTACTTGCACCTATATTATCAAGCACATCTAAATTCCAGAGTGATTTCATTATTACAAATACACAGCACACAATGGCAGCCCTAAACTCTAACATTTAACATTAAAGGGCCATGGAAATCCTTTTTTTACGGGGGGGGGGGGGGGGGGGAGTGTAAAATCCCCCTACCCCTTACCCGTTGCGCCACATTGACAGCAGATTGGGTAACAATACGATGTACTCGCCTCACAAAGTGGTGGTCACGTCCACTATGACTTCACATTCAATGAATCTGTGTACCCCCACCACACAACACCTCTGTTCTCTTAAAAATGGTACATCAAGCTCTTATGAGTGTTTTTTTTTACCCCGACCAAATCCATTAAAAAAAATTATACGTTATACAGGTGCGACACTGCATATGCCTTTTGGTCTGTCAGGAAAAAAAAGGCAGGGGAAACAATGTATTTGAAGAAGTAACACTAGTCTTTCCAGGACTCACTGAGGTACCCCAGTTTATACCCCTAATTCAGATATTGCTGCAGTTGAAAGGTTAACAATAATTCTACAGACGAAAGAACCAGTAACTGGGTAAACATAGATGAGGCAAGAATGCATAGTGTAAGAAAACAAAGGGTTTGCCAACAGTAACTTCCAACTATAATGGCGGCCCTACTCCAACACATTAAACAGCTATCTGAGGTGGATTTTATTATATGAAACGCGGTCAAAATTTTCCAGGTTGTGCATATTGAGTACCCCCCCCCCTTTTTAAAAATGGATGCCGCACCTCTAAAAGGGTAGGTTTGTGATGGCCTCACATTAAAAAAATAAGATTTTTATGAATATATTGTCCGAGTGGAATCTAATCCATTTATGAAAGGTAGGCACAACTTTCTTTTATAGGGGCATCATGACTACCCCCCCCCCCCATATTATTATGGCTGCCACGCCCCTAAAAAGGGTGTGTTTACGATGGCTCCACGTGTGATTTTTTTTCTCGTGAGTATTAATGTCTGTGGAAATTAGCTTCATTCGTTTATGAGATGTGGGCAAATTTTTTTCCCATGTTTGGCATAATGAGAACCCCGCCCTCCTTTTTTACCCCTCAGCCGAGAGGCTCGAGGGGTATTGTCATCGCCTAGGGCGTCCGTCCGTCCGGATGTATGTCCGTCCGTCCGTCCGTCCGGGTAGCTTGGTTTCCGGATGATAACTTGAGTTTAAAATGTCGTTTGGGGTTGTAACTTCGGTAGGGGGTTGCCCTTGGGAGTAGGCAAGTTGGGATTGGTTTTGAGGTCAAAAGGTCAAAGGTCAAGGTCACCGTGGTGAGTTAAAGGTAAATGGTTTCCGGATGATAACTTGAGTTAGAAATGATATTTTGGTGTCTAACTTTGGTAGAGGGTTGCCCTTGGGAGTAGGCAAGTTGGGATTGGTTTTGGGGTCAAAAGGTCAAAGGTCAAGGTCACCATGGTGAGTTAAAGGTAAATGGTTTCCGGATGATAACTTGAGTTAGAAATGAGATTTTGGTGTCTAACTTTGGTAGAGGGTTACCCTTGGGAGTAGGCAAGTTGGGATTGGTTTTGAGGTCAAAAGGTCAAAGGTCAAGGTCACCGTGGTGAGTTAAAGGTAAATGGTTTCCTGATGATAACTTGAGTTAGAAATGAGATTTTGGTGTCTAACTTTGGTAGAGGGTTGCCCTTGGTGTTAGGCAAGTTGGGATTGGTTTTGGGGTCAAAAGGTCAAAGGTCAAGGTCACCATGGTGAGTTAAAGATAAATGGTTACAGGATGATAATTGAGTTAGAAATGAGATTTTGGGTTCTAACTTTTGTAGAGGGTTACTCTTGGGAGTAGGCAAGTTGGGATTGGTTTTGGGGTCACAAGGTCAAAGGTCAAGGTCAGCATGGTGAATTCAAGGTAAATGGTTTCCGGATGATAACTTGAGTTAGAAATAAGATTTTTATGTCTAACTTTGGTAGGGTGTTGCCCTTGGGAGTAGGCAAGTTGGGATTGGTTTTGGGGTCAAAAGGTCAAAGGTCAAGGTCACCGTGGTGAGTTAAATGTTAATGGTTCCCGGATGATAACCTGACTCTGGCTGAGGGGTTTCAACAGCAACGCTGTTATTTTTCAATATGGCTGCCACGCCCCTAAAAGGGTGTGTTCGCGATGGCTCTACATCTGGAATTGTTTTTATCATGAATGTCAATGTCTGTGAAAAGTTCCATTTCTCTATGAATGTGGGAACAATATTTCCAGGGTGGGCATAATGAAAACTCCGCCCCCCCTTTTTCTGATATGGTTGCCACGCCCCTAAAAAGGTGTGTTCGAGATGGCTCCACATCTGGAATTTTTTTTCTCATGAATATAAACGTCTGTGGGACGTTTTATTCGTTCATGAAATATGGGCACAATGTTTTCCAAAGGGGGCATAATAATTAAACCCCCCCTTTTCTTTTAATGGCTGCCACGCCCCTAAAAGGTACTTTTGTGGTGGCTCCGAATCTGGAAAACACTAATAATCTATATAATTATGTCTTTGTGAAGTTTCCTGCTTTTGTAACAAGTGGGAAAAACCATTTTTACTGCGGGCACGACAAGTCCCGCCCCCTTTTTTTAAATGGATGCCACGCCCCTAAAAGGGTAAATTTGCGATGGCTCCACATCTAAAACATTTTCTCGCATAAATATAAACATCTGTGCCAAGTTTCACGCTTTTATGCAAAAGTGCACAATTTTTTCACATATCCGCTGGACTATAAGGGGTTAGAGTGATATGTTGTCATGTGACACATGATGATGTCATCATGACGTCATGTGTCTAGGACCAACGTTAATATGTTTTCTTAGTCATCAAAACGGTTGATGAAAAAATGATGCAGTTTGAAAAGTAGCAAAGTCATAAATTAAGCAAGGAGAAATTGCAAAGTGCAAACACACATGCTCGTAATTGGCCCTTATCAACTGCACAGTGCCCTAAGTCTCAACGTTTTGACTAGCCTGCTCTAGTCATCGTCAGTCTCCTGTCGAAACGTTGAGACCAAAGACAAGTTCTTTTAGAACTTAAAGCAGGACTATTCTTATTAGAACTAAAACTACTCAGCGAAAGTTGATAATAAGCAGGACAAGTTCTTTTCAGAACTAAATATCTTCTTAGCTGTAGTTATTACCACATGGTGTTACATGTACCAAAAACCAAAATGATAACCTTTAAAATAACTTCACATGACCTATGATGATGTCATCACACCGTCATGTTTTTCAGACCGTCTATGACCTATGATCTTCCTTTATGGCAAGTTGGTTAAAATACAAGGTTTACAAATAACACAAGTGTTGGTATGCTGTGCACAGTCAGATGCTGCTATTGTATTTACCTTAATGACAACAGTGAGTTCAATTGAAGAGCATGGCAGTAATATAATGAAAAAAGCGGCCACAGGGACTTGAGATTTAGAAATATGTAATTTTCGTAGCCTTAACAGTCCTGAATCTCCAATTTAAATACGATTTTGCATTCCCCCTAGGGAAGTAAGGCAAAGCAATACCAAATAATTTATTCTCACAATTTTAGTATTTATGAACATTAACACATTAAAACTTTTCATTTTCATTTTTGTTTTTACAGGGTAGGTCCGATACCGTTGATCTGAACCTAGATACATCTTTGGTCGTGGACATTTCAGATGCTTTAAGTGAGAAGGAAAAAGTGAAGTTTACAGTTCATACAAAGGTACATGCATTTTGTTAGTAAAACCCATTGTTGCTCATTCAGTAGATTATTTTATCCATACAGCCGTGTGATTGCGAAAGGTAATTTCTAAAGGTTACATACATACATAACCCTTTACCAAAAAAATGTATTTTGAATGACACTTCATGCACACAGACATGTTTATGATGGCAGACGAAATCTTTGAAGTCAATACTTCATTCACTTACCCAAATAGCTACTACGTTTGCATATTTATTCAGCTGACAGGCTCAAACACTAAAAGATTTAATCAACCAACGAGTGCCCTCTCAGGGCCTACCCATTATGATACGTCATGAATCGCCATTATACTTCCTCTTTTTTTTTAGCGACGGCATCGTACAGAAGCCTTTGACGGGTTTTTGTACGATTTTCGTTTTGAGAGTTTCTGTTTTATAGCATTTATCAACCAAGTGAGTTGTGTACAATCTGTAGAGTTTGGTTTTTGAGAAAGTAGTTCTCATTTGGAGTGATTTTGGAGTCTTTTGCTTCCGTTTTTCTTTCACGTGGCGTAGCAGGTTTTTCAGCCTTTGTCTCGCACCATGTGCGGCGGGCCAGGTCAGCACCTGCCGGGTAGGCATCATGGGTTCCCCCTTTGGGACCAAGTGCAATCCCTTTTTAGCCGAGTCGGCTTTCTTAAGTTATCATTATTACTTCTGTTTTATCTAATAGTAATATTTTTTGTCAAAAATAATAATTTTATAATTATTAATTGAAAAAAAAAAAAAGCAGTGCATTTATTTTATGACTCCATAGATGGGACCCAAGCCAGCTGGCGTTAAGCATAACTCGCCTCGAGACAGGTACGTCTCCCGAGTTATTTATCAAATCCTTTCCATCATCGTTGTTTCCGTAAAGGCCTTACGGGAGACAGTGCGTCGTATCCCCGGAGAGAAGTGAGGTTATTCATGAAAATAGGTCTGCTAGTCGCCCCACACGTGGGGCCCCTGTTCCGGAAGTCAGACTTTCGGCCGTTCAGGGGACTAGCGAAACGTTTCGAGGAGTACAGCGGTTTCGACCGTTCCCTGTTCTCCTTTCGTTTCCCCTAAGCTTGCGGTGAGCTAGGGCCTAGCAAGATGCTTACAGTGGGAGTATATCGACAGAGGTCGTTCCCTTCCCCCCTGACCGTCTCAGCTAGCTCGGGGAGCTAGTAAGCTAGAAGAGGACATTTCGCGGTTCCCCAGGCTATTAACCGCATCAAAGGCCACCAGTGGTTCCTAGGTTAAGAACCAAAAAGGGACCACTAGTCGCTCGATCACGCCGCCGGTCTCCAGACCATCGGCGTTGAACCGCCGGAGTTTCTTTGCCTCGTCCCCCCGGTCTGCTGGCTCCATCAACCTTCACAGATGTCCAGTCACAGAGTGGTAAAAGAATTCAATCCTCACCGGCCCCGTCTGTGCGCTCATCGTGCTCCGAGCTTCCTGCTTCCATCCGTGCGGAATGGGCAGGACCTCGCGGTAACTGACTTGCCTCCTCCTCCAATTTGGGCCACGGACTCGCAGTCAACGTCATTCTTTGATCAATGCTCCAGAATTCCGAGGATATTATTTGAGTTTTCACAGAAAAGTGAATCAAGTCACCCAAGTAAGAAAAGGAAACACAAGGCAGTGCCACCTTCTTCAGGGGATTCCCCCCGTAAGTCGACGCATCGGCAAAAGAAAAACAAAGGTGTATCCACGGAAATCTTTTTAAAGCTTTTCAAGACATCAATCTTTCGCTGGCAGCCCACAACAACAGTGGAGATCGGCCCCAGCGGTGACTGGGAGGTCACTCCATGCTGCCTCATTCCTGGACCCAGATCCTGGTCTAATCCTGCTGGATCAGTCCGGTTGGATCCGGGTTTAATCCGGCCGGATCCGGGCTTAATTCAGCCGGATCAGGGCATAATCCTGCCGAATTCAGGCGGGATGAGAAGGGAACACATTGGGCCCCTGCATCCTCGGGTTGCCATTAGTGTCGGCTCCGATAGTCCACCTACTCCGGGCCGTGAGATCGCAGGTGGAAATTTCTTTACACCCATCTATAAATTTGGGCACTTCTGTTCAAGATGTTCCTGACATAGATGTTGATAGTGCTCACCCCCTTTCCACTCACTCGCAAGACGTGTGTTCTGGGGATGAAGAGGCCACTGACCCTGGTGATTCTTCACCATTTGAGACTCAGCCAAGGCTGGTTCAAAGAGATATGGTTCGGGTACTGCAACTGCCAGAGAGCAGTAAGTCAGAGACCACCCGTCGTTCTTTCAAATGCCGGACTGGTGTGGAGGAACCTCGAGATCCAGCTTTCCCTGCTATGCCGGTGGGTCGTTTATGCACCGATTGCATCCAACGTATCACCGATGCAAAGAAATGGACTGCTTTCAACAAAAGGTCGGCAGCCTATTTCCAGTTTCCAGAAGAGGACCGAGAAGATTTCTTTACGGTTCCTGCTATTCCAGATACGGCCATGGACAAATTGACTGGAGATAGCGGCAAAGCCCCGACCAAGTCAATATTTGTTGATAAGGGTAGAGCTAAGATGGAGGTTACAATGAAGAAAGTCGATGAGGCAGCTAGATTTGGCTCACAAACGTACGCCTTTTTACTTTTATTATGTGAATATATCATCTGCGCATGTGAGGAAGATTCACAAATTCCAGCCGATATGTTAGCAGCCTTCAGATGTCTGGACAAAATACTCCGTTTTTCTCCAGATCAGTTGACGAGAATCTCTATTTTGTTCGCCAAATCACGTTGGACTAACATGATGGAGACACTTTACATACCACACGAAGGCGCTAAGAAGAAGTTACAAGACCTTCCTCTTATGGGCAAAGACCTTTTTGGTGGCAAATTCCAGGAAATTCTGGAAGTTGAAGCCCAAATGAATCAAAACAGTGGACAAACTGAGCTTGAAGAAGCCATCAGCTACTAACAAGCGCAAGTTCTCTGGGAAGAAGGCAAGGAGAGGTGCTCCCTCGTTTCGCCCTGCCCTTAGGAAAGCATTTAAGCCATCAAGCAAGGCATCAGCTGGTGCAGTGGTTTCAGCTCCATGCCCCTACTCTGCCCCTGCGCGCCAGAATGTATAAACTAACGGCCGGGGACATGGCGGCGGGCCATCAGCCCCCTGCCTAGGGTGGCGGCGGTGACGCCCCCACCGAGCCGACCCCCACACTGGGGCCCATCGGGGGTCGTCTCAGAAATTTCGTAGGGCCCTGGAGAGAGATCACCTCCGACCCATGGGTGCTTTCTATAGTCAGCCACAGCTATCAACTAGAATTCACAAGCACTCCTCTGTCGGAAATATGTGTTCGCGAAACAGTGGTTCTGACAAACACAAACGATTAGCTCTTGAACAAGAGATATCATCCCTTATCGAGAAGAGAGCGGTCCGCTTGGTGCCACCAATGGAGCAGTTCACAGGCTTCCTGTCCTTCTTTTAAAAAAAACGCCAAAGAAGGCGGCTGGCCAATGGCGGCCAATAATCAATCTGAAACCGCTCAACAAGTTTGTCAGACCCAAGCATTTCCAAATGGAAACTCTTCTTGTAGTTCAAGAATAGTTACCCACACCAGCCTGGGGAACGTCATTAGACCTAAAAGATGCATACCTACATGTTCCCATCTTCCAAGAGCACTCCGGATTCCTACGTTTCCGGTATCAGGGCGCACTTACGAGTTCACTGCCCTTCCCTTTGGGCTATCAACCTCGCCAAGAGTGTTTACCAGGGTTGTGCGGGTAGTTGCATCACGTCTCACGAGAACATAATGATTTTTATGTATCTCGACGACTTGCTGATATTGGGAAAATCAAAAGGCAAGACTACTCAGAATTTGAGGGACACTTATATGTTGACGACAAGGCTAGGCTTCATAATCAACGAGAAGAAGTCCCAACTAACCTGTCCCAGGAAATCACTTTCCTGAGAGCAGAGATCATCCTCAGGCATAGGCCTCGGATGCACTATCAATAGACTGGACAAACATGTTCGCTTACGCCTTCCCTGCGATCTCAATCCTTACAAGGGTCATCGGGAAACTGGAGAGAGACAGGTGCAAGATTCTACTGATCGCCCCCTTCTGGCCGCGTTAGCCCTGGTTTCCGCGACTGGTGTGGCTTCTAGTGAGCTCCCCTCTAATCCTCCCAGGTCATCACGACCTACTCCTTCAACCTCAGTCCCTGTTCTGACACCCGTCTCCGGGAGATCTCCACCTAGCATGCTGGCCACTGTCAAGCGCGCTTACTGATAATAATAATAATAATAATAATAGTGGCTTCTTGTATAGCGCTCATGTCCGTCACGAAGTGACGCTCCTGGCGCTCTATTATTACTCTGGCTTTAGCACGGCTGCCATTACAGCGCTCCAGCATTGAAGGAATTTCTTCCTACCAGGTACCCATTTACTACACCTGGGTGGAGAGAGGCAAAGTAGTAAAGTGCCTTGCCCAAGCGCACAAGCACCATGTTCCCCGTCATGTTCCCTGTCATCCGCAAAGGGATGTCGTCTCTCAACACGACGAATCTATGACAGTAGACTACGACATTATAGTAGGTGGTGCGAAAAACAGGCTGTGGATCCACTCTGTGCTTCTTTAAACCATTGTTCAGAATTTCTACTCTCATTGTGTTAAGAGCCAATTTGTTAGTAGGAACGGTGCGAAATTATCGATCAGCCATAGCAGTAGTTCACAAAGGCTCCACTGATGGCTCATCCATTTCCTCTAATGTGGCGATCACTCACCTACTCCGTGGAATGTTCAATGAGAGGCCAACAGTCCGGAAACTAGTCCCATCCTGGGATCTGGTTCAGGTCCTGAACCTTTTGGCCAAGGCTCCATATTGTTGCGGGAACTCTCCGGGCCAACCTAAGTCTGTTAGGATATGTCTGACTCCTATTGGGGTGAAGACAATCTTCCCAAACCAAGGCTCTTCCCTAGAGAGATCACTCAGAGCGACCTTCAAGGCTAAGGGGGCAGGTCCATTTTGATGGAAATCTACCG